ACCAATTCCCAAGTATGATTTTTGCATAATGGATTCAATTTCATTATTAACAGCCTCTTTCCACAATGGTGCTTCAAGACCTGTCATTGCTGCCTTAAAGCTTTGAGGTTCATTTTCTAACAGGTATGTCAGAAAATCTGGACCAAAGGATTTTGATGTTCTCGCTCGCTTACTTCGTCTTGGCTCATCATCAGTTAAATCCTGTTGGTCGAGACTATTACTAGTCTCTTGTGTTTGATGGTCATTAGTCTCTTGACTTTGTGTACAATCATAAGTTCTTTTCTATGAACTTAATTCCTGTCCTTTCTTGTAAGGAAAGACATATTCAAAAAATACAGCATTCCTTGACTCTATAATAGTGTTCACATTTATATCAGGTATTTCTGATTTATAAGTCAGAAACCGATATGCACTACTATTCTGAACATAACCAATAAACACATAGTCTACTGTTTTTGGTCCAATCTTAGTCTTTTTAGGAACAGGAACTTCAACTTTTGCCAAACACCTCCACACTTTTAAGTATTGGTAGGAAGGCGGTCGACCTTTCCACAATTCATAAGAAGTGTTGTTTGTTTTCTTGTGGGGTATTCTTTTAAGAACATAATTAACAGACAATATTGCTTCCCCCCACAAGTTCTGTGGTAAGTCTGAACTTAGTAATATGGCATTCATCATTTCTTTTAGGGTTCTATTCTTCCTTTCAGCAATTCTATTTTGCTGTGGAGAATAAGGGGCTGTAGTTTGGTGAACAATGCAATGTTGTGCACAAAATTCATCTAATGGTGCATCATATTCACCACCCCTATTACTTCTGATATAAATCAATAAATTTCAAAACAAATTCAAGAAAAAACCAAAATAATTATGACTACTCAAGTCAGAATTAATGTTTTGACAAAATCATATCCTCATAAAAAATTTTGCCTAAGAATCAAACAATTCAAAAACTCATTTGATTGTATACATTCTTGCAACTCAATAACAAATAAATGTCACTGTCATAAAAAAAAATATTATCTCAACTAATGCAATAGATACACCCCCACATTAATAAAATGGCTCATGGTTTAACAAATTTTACTACGCAAGTAAAATAATTATTAATGACAACTCATGTCACATAATTCAAAATAAACTAAAAATCAACATAAAAGATTTCTTAAATTTACTTTCTAATTAAATGGAACGATATAACTACATACATTTTCATGTTTAAATTTCTCTGGTGTTTAAACACCCATTCAAAATTGATTGGAAAAACTCAAATTAATCAACATATCAATTTAACATTCCAAATCACATGAAATTTTTGTCAAGAAATAACTTGAGTTGACATCATACATGCATATCAAACGCATCAACTAAAAATAATGAATTAACAAAATAAATTAATCATGCATCATCCCAAAATTTGCATCATGAAATAAAAAGATTCGCAACTCATAAATAGAATTCAATGCGTTTTGAATTTTAAACTCCAAAATGACAAAATATACCTTCATTTAATAAGTTTGATTTGTATATAAATAAACTAATTAAATATGCATGCAAAAGTCCTTGTGAATATATATATATATATATATTATTCCGACTCATATGCAGAAACTATTCACGACTACAGATCCACACACAGAAATTTAAAAATGATTCAAAAAACCAATAAAGAAACTAAACTTGCCATAAAGGTTTCTTTGTAATAAAAATGAATTTGTTTGTAAATTAATATTTTACTCTAGAAACAAATTCTCCCATGTACTACGATAAAGTCAAAAGAATTATGATAAATTAACAAAATTAATTTTCTAGTTACTAAAACCAGAAATAAATTATAACATAAAATAATTTTATTTTTCTTGTTATTTAAACTAGTAAAATAAAATACCGAAATAATATCTGATTACAAAAAATCAGAAAAACAAACCACAAATTAATTTTCTAGTTACTAAAATTAGAAAATAAATTATAACACAAAATCATTTTATTTTTCTTGTTACTAAAACTAGAAAATACAGTAATTTTATTTTCCTTGTTACTGAAACTAGAAAATAAATACCACAAAATATCTGATTACAAAATCAGAAAAAACACAAAACAATTTTCTAGTTACCAAAACCAAAAAATAAATTAAAACACAAAATAATTTTATTTTCTTTGTTACTAAAACTAGAAAATAATATAATTTTATTTTCCTTTTTACTAAAACTAGAAAAATAAAATACCAAAATAATTTTCTGTAACACCAAATAATATTCTGAAATTGTTAATGACACCAGTATATTACTACTAGTTGTCAAAGAAAAGAGACAGTATATTACTACTATCTGTCAAATAGCATAAATCACTATTTGTTTTTCCAACCAGAATATTACTTTGAAAACACAGAAAATTAAATACAATGAAGATACCAAAAAAAAAATACGAGTCTATCTTAAGATTGTAGGACAATCTTCACTGTATTAAATTATGTTGTGTACTAAACAACAACCAGAATATAAAGATATAAAGGAAATGAGAGAATTTGTTTGATTACAAAAATCAAACTCGAAATAAAAATAAAAATAAAAAAATAAAAACAGATTTTATTTTGTTACAAAAACAAAATTAAAATCTGATTTAAATAAATAATAAAGCACTGGAAATAAATTAAATAACTTACTTGATTTAATTTCTTCGAATTATAATTTGATCAAAAATAAATAACAGTAACACAAAAAATTAATTAAATAACTTACTTGATTTAATTTCTTCGAATTATAATCTGATCAAGTCCAGTGTTTGACACTGTGTCCTTAAGACAGATTCGTCCTCTCCACGGTGCTTTCAGAAATTGGACATCTATCTCTCAGGATGAAATGATCTACTACAAACAATAGCAGCACTACAAATTGTTTTCCTTACGAACACCCTAAGTGTTTGAACTCTTTCTTTCAGAAAATAAATGCAGCAAAATGCAGAGATTTATATCAGAGGATGGAGTACGAAAATTCGAGTTAAATCCAAATGGGAGGCTAGTCTATTTATAGATGTAAAGGTGGCTATTGGTTTTGAATTGAACAGGTATGAAACCTGTTGGTTTTGAATTCAAACAGATTTGAATCTGTTGGGTTATATTTCAAATAGATAACAAAACGGGAAGGGCCCTGTTTGGGTGTGCAATAATACCAGACTGGTTTATTTCGGGAAGGGCCCTGTTTGGATGTACAGTAAAACTAAACCAGTTTAATTTTGAATTATGGATTTTATTTTACCAAAAAAATAAAATTAAATTAAAATGTTTTTGGCCCAAAATGATTAGTATTGGGCCGAACAAGTCCAACCCAACCTCACACCGCGCCCAAGCCCAGGCCCAGCCCAGCTTGACCGACCGGACGAACGGCGGCGACGCGCGTGTGTGGTGATTTTTGGGTCCAATGGGTCTACCCCATAACCTCTCCCTCTAAAACACTTGGGTACCCCTTGGGGCACACCCCAAGTACCAAACCCAAGCCTTGTAAACCCATTCAAAACCTCCCACCAAATCAATGTGGGACAAGCCATTTTACAACCTCAAAGAATTTCCACCAAAACTCCATTTCTATGGAGCACACTTTGGCTTCAATTTTCCATTCACTCGATAATGGTTTTGAGCAACCAAATATACCACGTGAATTACAACGCGGTATAGAACGCGTTACCACTTTGACCCGTGAAAATCGACGCACAGGGCCCATCTAAAAAATAGACCAGACTTAGGATAAAATTTTGGTTTTATCCAGAATTTATAACCTTTTCCAACAGTTTTATGTGTTAGCAATTTACTAATATGTAGAATATAGTTCGTAATCCTTTACACTGTGTTTGGTTGGGAATTTGAGGAGGGATTTGGAAAGGGAAAGAAAAAAATTAAGTGAAATGTGAATAACATACATTTCACCTAGTTTCACACACCTTTTCCCTTTTCCTTTCCATTTCCAAATCTCTATACCAAACACAACATTACTGTTATTTAAAATATCGAATTCAATGCTAATTTTTGAAATTCATAGTACTTTCCATTTGTATTTCCCTCCTACTTATAGAAAACCTCATTTGCTTTACTCTTTTTCTAGTTCCATTTGAGTTGCTTTATGTTGTGTTTGGTTGGGGGATTTGGGGAGGGATTTGGAAAGAGAAATGGAAAAGGTAGGTGAAATGTGAATAAAATATGTATATATTTCACATAGTTTCACACACCTTTTCCCTTTCCCTTTCCAAATCCCTCCCCAAATCCCTCAACCAAACACACCATTACTCTTTTTCTAGTTCCATTTGAGTTGTGTGTTTAATTATGAGTTATAAGTTTTTGTATCAAATATCATATATCACATTAAAAATTTCATATTCAATTCAAAACTCATTCACCAAAACTCGCAAACTCAAAATACAACTCTGTTATCAAATCATATTTAAAAAACTGTACCAAACGCAACCTAACACTTCAACATCTGTAACCTCCAAGTAGAACAAAACCTATGACAATCTATTATCTTGCGCAACACAAAATTAAAAGCTGACTTCATATATTTTTAATCCATTAAAAGAGACTTTCATTTGTGGTAAGATACTTCCTAGCAAATCTCCTGCTTATGAAACCGACACATCAATAATGTCCATGAACTGACAGGGTGACATTAGACCTGGAGAATGAACCCAATCGAGAAAACGATTTTTTTTTTTTTTAAATGTTTGCCTAGTTATCGAATCAATTTTTAAATCATTCAGAAAGAAGAGGGGCTCTTCCACAAAGAAAGCTTCTGTTACCCGAGTCATATCCGCAATGAAACATGACCAACAATATTACATATACAGAAACCATCCACATAACCAAACGACAGAAGACTGGTAAAGTTTTCTGCATATCAGTTCCATTCATTTGCGAGACAATTTTCCGTTGTGCAGAAATGCAGCTATCAGGTTACATTGACACAGTTCAAAAAAAAAAAAAGAGGTTACGTTAGCACAGAATTATGTCGAAAACATTCAGAAATATGTTGAGAACTCAGCAAATATCATAAAACAAACATGCACAATGGCTCAATTAGAAGGCACAATTAGTCTGATTTCCAGGCAGATAAACAATGGGACACTATTATTCAAACCTACTTCATCATAAAACAAACATGCACAATGGCTTGATTAAAAGGCCCAATTATTCTAATCTCCAGACAGATAAACAATGGGACACTATTAATCAAACCTACTTCATGACTCATTTCATCACAACAATCTTGAAATGCTGTTAGCTTCTTCAAGGGAAAACAACACATGCTTTCTCAGATAATGTTTCATCAAAGCTCTCCTTTGTTTCCTTTGAGATTAATTACAGCAAGCTCTTGTTCTACAAACTCTCCTGCACAAATGGGTGGATAGTTGCTGGCAATTGGAGATCCAGCAAAGTGGCCTAAAGGCTTCAGCACAGCATCAGAAGCTATGTGTGCAAACAACTAGATAAGACAGAAGAACGATAAGTCAAAAAAAAGAACGAAAAAATGCATAAATATTTGAAAATAACAAATTACAGCAGTAAAATGATAAGAATGATAATAATGTTGGCATCACTAACCGTTGAGGATACTCTCCAAAGGCTGCGATCTTGCTGCAATGCTAGTTTAATTGCATCAGTGGTCCTATTAGTCACAACAACTTCATGCATACCAGCTATGCAGTCTCCTGCTGTCAACCATTCTATCTGCAATTTACACATTCAAAATGCATATACCATTCATGGTCAGCCAAATTAAGCTTGAGCAAAAAGTAAAATTATTAGCAAATAAAATTCAGCCCATTCGTAACATTAGACTTGAAATGGAAGGCAGGATCAAAGTCTCAAACCACGAAGACTAAAACATATCATGAAGACAATTGATTCTATAAAATGGGGTGACATAAATTTCCTTTACCTTCCAATAAATGTGGCTTACACAAGTTTTTCATTTAATCTTCCAAATTACTTCATATACTATGAAAGCAAATTGATTCCTCGCATTCTTTCATCTTTGTTCAATTTGTAGCTTCTTTCCATACAGACTCAAAAAAAAAAATGGCGAGAAAGCAGAGAATTCTTCAGACACTATGGAAAACTTTTGATCACGTAGATGATAGGTGGAAAGAAGTGGCATCCAAAGGGAGATGTCTTCTTGGGAAAGAGATTGGGTGGGTTTGAGGCCATTTGATGAGGGCGTTGAAGAGGCAAGAGAAAGCAAATTGCAGGGTAATGGAAGAGAGGTGATTTGCAGGAACCTTGAACCTTAGCAATTGGGGGAGGGCGACTCTAGGCCAACACACATGGTAGGGAGGAAGCTAGGTCAGGGTGGTAAGTGGCAGGACAGTTGAGAGCCTATTTTTTTAATTCTAAAAAGAGAAAGGGGATAGCTGGCGGGCAAAGGAACAGGGTGGAGGGCAATGAGCCATGTGACTGTAGAGAGGGGGGTGGTTTGGGCTCACAATCCAGTTCAAGCAAGGGTTGGTAGGAATAAATTCTCTTGGGCCAAGAAGAAGAAGTCAGTTCAATCTGATCCTCATCGCCCAAGTACTGGGCTAGACCTGAGTGGGGGGGGGCTGTTAGAATTTACCAATTTACTCCTCCACCTACCATCTCTACTAGCACCCACTTCACCTACCACCTCCACTCCACTACACCTACTACCCAAACCCTCTCCTATATAATGCCACTCTGATTTGTAATCCAACACATCAATACAACAATCTTGTAACATCTATCTCAATCAATAATACATATATTTTTACCTATGTTACATGGACTCGGGTACGAGTGTCGGGTGCGGGTGTGTATCCAAGCGTCAGACCTTCATAAATTTAAATCTTAGGATCTTGGGGTATGTATCCAAAATTGGATATGGATACGGGGACACGTCATATGCACATATATATTGCATATTATATAATATTCTCGGATGAGATTATTTAAATTATGTAGAAATATATTAGAAATTAAATATGATTTAGAAAAAAATATGAAATTTCTATATCTAATTCATGTGGGAGCCTAAAAATATTGCTTTACTAACAAATGCAAGTTTCTTTTTCTTCACGTATTGTCACAAATTAAAGGATCTGAGTGTCTAAATTGGGTACGAGCGTCGGACACATATTCCACACCCTTATCCATGTCATATCCAGTGGACACGGGTATTGTGGGGGAAATAGAAGAGTCCATGTAACACAGATTTTTACACAATTGATTCTATAAAATGGGGTGACATAAATTTCCTTTACCTTCCAATAAATGTGGCTTACACAAGTTTTTCATTTAATCTTCCAAATTACTTCATATACTATGAAAGCAAATTGATTCCTCGCATTCTTTCATCTTTGTTCAATTTGTAGCTTCTTTCCATACAGACTCAAAAAAAAAAATGGCGAGAAAGCAGAGAATTCTTCAGACAGTATGGAAAACTTTTGATCACGTAGATGATAGGTGGAAAGAAGTGGCATCCAAAGGGAGATGTCTTCTTGGGAAAGAGATTGGGTGGGTTTGAGGCCATTTGATGAGGGCGTTGAAGAGGCAAGAGAAAGCAAATTGCAGGGTAATGGAAGAGAGGTGATTTGCAGGAACCTTGAACCTTAGCAATTGGGGGAGGGCGACTCTAGGCCAACACACATGGTAGGGAGGAAGCTAGGTCAGGGTGGTAAGTGGCAGGACAGTTGAGAGCCTATTTTTTTAATTCTAAAAAGAGAAAGGGGATAGCTGGCGGGCAAAGGAACAGGGTGGAGGGCAATGAGCCATGTGACTGTAGAGAGGGGGGTGGTTTGGGCTCACAATCCAGTTCAAGCAAGGGTTGGTAGGAATAAATTCTCTTGGGCCAAGAAGAAGAAGTCAGTTCAATCTGATCCTCATCGCCCAAGTACTGGGCTAGACCTGAGTGGGGGTGGCCTAAGAAATATTCGGGCCATGCATTCAACGGCATGGGGATTGTTCAGACCTAACTGTTTTGAGCCTCTCTGTGAATATCTTGGGCCAAGCCTTAATTTTGAAGGCCAACTTCGAATCATGTGCCTTCTCTTGGATAGTGGTGGTTTGTCAAAGGGCCTAAAACCTTTCATGTTTGAGAATATGTGTCTCAGGGAAGAAGAGTGAGGAGCAGGTGGGAGGGTTTTGAGGTGGTTGGTTCCTCAAGCTTTGTTTGGCCAGAAAGATTAAGTTGTTAAAGCTCAATTTGAAGGTGTGAAACAAAAAAGTCCTAGACAAGGTGGAGTTAAGAATTGCTAGACTTCTGGAGGAAAAAATTGAAGTTGAAAGATAAGGAGGGGAGGGAACGAGAGTTGGAGGAGGTAGTCGAGGACGAAATTATGGAAATTTTACAAGAATCTTTTCATGGATCGCCTCATCTTGATGGTTTGAAGTATGATTCTTCCATTGATGTTGGGGTAAGGATTGGTTCGAGAGGCCATCTTTGAACGATGAAATTTGAGAGGCTTAGAAGAGGTTAAATGGAGATAAGGTACAAGGTACTAATGGTTCATTGACATTTTTTCAATCGTGTTAGGAGGTTGTGAAGGCGGATGTTATGACTGCTATCCAAGAGTTTCATGATTCGGGGCATCAAGGACTATAAACCATTAATATGCTTGGAAGTGTATTCAAGTTCATTATGGGATTTATCATCTCTACCTCTCAAAATCTATACTATATATAAAGTGAACAGCTTTGATGGTGTCCTGAAGCCTTTGCTTCTCTTGGTGCTAAGTGGATTTCTCAACTTAAAAAAAAAAAAATACAGAAGACAGTGATACTCGAGAACCTAAGACCTGATAAAGAACACTGTTACCACTTAAGTGACACACAAGATACAGTATTTTTCAACTTTTTTTTTAAAATTTTTACTTATTTGACTTGCACACACATCGCGTGTGCAAGCCACTAGTACTTTATTGAGGGTAATCACCTTTTACTTCATTATATGTTGGCTTCAAAAGTTTGGGGTTTAATTCTTTCAGTTTTTGGTGTTCCGAGGGTTATGTTGGGGTTGGTAAAGAATCTTTTTGAGTGTAGGCATAGGGGTTGCCTAACTAAGGTAAGCATGGAGACCTGGGAGGTTGTTTTTGTTAAAGATAAGATTATATTGTCAAAGATATCAGAAGATATAGAAAATATCAGAATATATGGAGATATCTTTGACAATATGATCTTATCTCCAACACTCCCCCTCAAGGTGGAACACAGAACAACTGAAGTGAATGTCCAACTTAAATTCGAAAATAGGATGATCATTACAAACAATTACAATGAAGTTCCCGAAAGACAACAAAAATCGTAATAACTCCCTTCAATGACACCTTCAAAGAACATAGGTACGGAATCAACATTTTGCAACAAAGAAACGAGCATGGAATTAGTCATGATGGTAGCAAGAGAAACCAATTGAGAGAGAGAGAGAGAAAGCAAGGTTGAAGTAACGGCAAATCACCATAAACAGAAAGGCCCAAAAAACGACATCTTACGAAGAATGCTACCGAACAAACCGGTAGCCCAAAATCAAAAAAGAACTATGTGCTTACCACATCAACACAGGGACCCTAAAAGGGTAGAGAAGTAGCCGAAAAACTCAACATATCACAGAATAATGCTACCGAACACATCGGCAGTCCCAAAACAAGTAAAAATCACAAAGATTTCTTATCACATCAGCAAACTAGTGGTCAACACAAGAAGAGGAGAAAACACCTTGAAAAAAAAAAATGTGGAGTGAGAAAGCACTTCATAAAGAAACATGTTTAGGGTTTGGTAGGCTCTGATACCAAGTTGAATTTTATAATATGACAATAAGGTTGAATATGAAGAAATAATAAAGACTGAAAAGAGGAAAGAAAGAACACAAAAGATTAATGTGGTTCAGCCAATATTGGCTTACGTCCACACATAAAGCCCTATAGGCTACATCTTTCATTCACTCAACTTGATATTCTTGTTTATAGTATCTAGTGTTAATTAATTAACACCTCAGAAGAAGTATTTGACAACCAACTTACACCAGGTGAATATTGAATATGCATAAATCATGGAATCTTCATATATTCTGATATCTTATAATCTTACCTCCAACAGCTTCATTATGCATTCTATGGTGCATCTGGATGTAAAGGAACGACAAATCATTTCAAGGGAGGGAGAATTCCATTTTTGCTTTGAAGGGTAAAGTCCTGGCACAATTATTTTATTTTAATTTACATTTTCGCTCAAGGAGGACTGCACATTTCCCCCTTATTTTGTGGATGTTTTGGCTGATTTGTACATCTGTGTTGATATATCATATATATGATTTTGTTTTGCTCCTTTTTGTTGTTGTATACATCCTGTGTATATAGTTGCCATCTTTCAATACAATTTCTTTACCTATCAAAAAAAAATGTAGCTACTTTTCATTTTAATTATCTAATATAAAACCACTCTATGAGTACTTAAAAACCAGTTAATACTAGCATCGTATAGACACTAAATAAACAGACTGACAAAATTAAATTCATGTATCTTTGTGATAGATTGAACCTGGAAAAATAGTGTTTTTAATCGTTTCAATGACCAAAATAACATGAATGAGAAATGTAAAATGTGTCATTTCTATGGTAAAAATTGAAGCACGTTTCTTACATACAAAATTAACATTGAGTGGTTCTGCAATTCTTTTGGAACATGCTTTTTCAAGTCAACTTCTAATAGCAACACATCAGTTGCTCAACTAGCTCAATATATAAAAGCAAATAAATACAAGTACTAAATATGATCTAACCTGCTTTCCTGTCTGAATAAGGAGACAACCTATAGGAACCTTCACTTCCATCTTTTGCCCATTTCTAAGCCAAATGTTTAGACCAGGGAATCTACTTCGGCCATGAATTGTTAGAAAGTTAAGGTCATAATGATATCCAGCAAACACAGTGCCCTCCTGGCCATAACGTTGAAGGTCACTCCCCGTTGGAGCAAGCAAATGTGGTCCCTGGGTTGGAAGACAGAAGGCATTTGTTAAGTAGCACAAACAGCTAAAAAGAAATAGTGCATTGTAGTGCACTATCACAAGCCATCAGTGGAACACCCTTCTTTATATGATTTTAAAAAGGAAAAAATAAATAAAAAATGAGAAGCATTTGTGTTGCATGCTGCGGACACCCTGGGGACACATTGCATGTGTCATAAAATATTTAAAAATGACATATAATAAATGTATAAAATTATATGTTTTGCACGTGTCCCCAATGTGCCATGTCCTTCACTTTTTGAAACTTTGTGTGCCTGCATGTCTGTGTCGTGTTCGTGCTTCTTAGAACAAAAAATGTTTCACGTATCAATCCATTTCAATCCCACACATTTGACACCAAAAAAAAGGGTAAAACCCTCTGTCTTTGTTAGTCAAGTAAATCAACTGGAATTTTTTTAAATTGCCCCGCAGTGAATGACACGTATATTTTCTTGTCCCAACCCAAAGGAAGCACAAATATGAAGTTAAATTTTGGTAGATATGCAATTTTGCATCAACAAAAGTCTTCAACGCAATCTGATTAGACACCACACAAACATCATGTATTTTTATGTCTTCATTTTATGCTTCTGATTTTAAAAGTACAGCATAAAAAATGACTTGGCCACAAACACAAAAAGAGGTGGTAAGATAAGAACAATAGTTACCTGCTTCATGAGAGAAGTGAATGCATCCTTAGGCAAGCCAAACCCAATTGCTGCCATTTCTGCAACAGCCTGGGCCAACCCAGAAAAAAAAAAAAAAAAAAATACAAATGATATTGCAGATGATATACATAAGAAGCAGGTTGAGACAATTGAGTAACCTCACTGATGATTCACCTCTATAGCAGATATCATTTTGTAGCCCCAGGAGTCCATGGTGTCTTTCCACTCGGGAAATCCCTCAGGTATGACTGGCTCAGCATTCAGTTCCTACATAGGAAGCATGGCAGTTAATGATAGCAGTAAAAAACAACCATCTTGATATTGAGAATGAAGAGAAGATGTGAGACCTGAAAGCGAAACCATGACAGTTAATGATAGTAGTAAAACCATCTTAATATTGAGAATGAAGTGAAGATGTGAAACCTGAAAGCGGGTGTTTGATGGCCGAGGACCAACTCTCCACATGTACCGCCACTTTGGGTCTGGTCCCATGGGAGTGGAGGGTTGAAACTCTTTGGGCATTGCTCTTAACTTGCCTTGTATTTCCTCATCAACCAAGCTACGAGGAACTTCAACTCCTTCAGGTGTTACCCCAACCTGTTGTTGTCATTTACATACACCAGAACTACTTATAAAGCAATGATTCCTTCTCTAACAACAAATGCAACCTTACAACATATGCACCACCAGAAAGATGAAACTGCCCCTAATCTTTCATTTATTATTTACCTTTCCCTTGTTTTCTCACTATGAATTTGGCCCCTCTATAGTTTTTATAGCATGTGAAAATTGGAAATGGAAAGAATAAAATTGAAAAATAAAATAAAACATCGATGACTGTCTTTATTCATATGAAAGTAAAGGTAGTTGAAAACAATTGAACAAGATATCCTGTCCAGAAGATGCATCAAGGTTGAAAGGCAAAATGGGTAACCAGATGGTCACCAAGGCAGTAGTAGGGATGGATGGTGGACTCATCACAACTCAAATTACTTGTGAATTTGATATTATAAAAGATGGGTAATGATGAATAAGATCAATTAAGAATAAATGATCTAGTATGTTTTTGTACCAAACCTAAAGGGTCAGAATCCATGAACCAAACACAGCCTTAAAAATAAAAATAAAAATAAAAACAAGCAAGATTGGTACATAGCCTAATTTGGTCATCTCTTCAGAACATAAAGAAGCTAAAAAAATAATTATAATAGTTGTATATCATTTTCATTGGATTCAGTTATTCAATCATTTTATTTCTTCTATTTTTACAGGGACAAAACTGGTATTATGAAAATATAAGAATCTGTTGGTTTATTTTTTCTTCCAATCTCTCCATTTTGGGAAGATTAAGGCCAAGTTTGGGAAGACTAAAAAAGTACACTTTTTGTCTTTTTGGACTAAAAAATTGAGGTTGAAAATATGGATGTTTGGATTAACTTTTTGACTTTTTATTGAAAAATGTGTAATAAAAAATTGTAAAAATTGATTTGTGGGGAAAAATTTAAATTAGGAGTTGTGCAGCCGTAATTGTTGACTTTTGGTGAATGACTTTTGGTGAATAGTGTTAACTTTTTAGCTTTTTGAGTAACTTTTTGACTTTTTGGCTTTTTTGGATCTTCCCAAACTTGGCCTAAAAATGAGGGTTACAAAAAAAATGAATTTTTCTCCATTTCTCCCTATTTCTCTTCCCTTACGTTATCCAAACACCTTAAGTTATCCAAACAAGTAAAAATCTTTTCTTTCTTTTTTTTCTCTCCAAATCCCTCAATCCACACAATGTAAGACCCAATTTTATTAAAGTATACACCCATTATGATTCATCAATTCTAGTTTAATTATTACTATTATAGTAATTAAAAATTTAACAATAAGCTCAATACTAGCATTGATATAATGATCTAGAAATAAATGCATGATGATGGTAGTAGTAAAAAAAGGAAAGACCTGGTAATGCAAGTGAGGACGCTCTTGGAGGCGCTTGAATTGTGGTGGGCGTTGGAAATACTTCTCCATCATATCGATGAAGCGATCGTTGTCTTGGGCGGAGCATCTGGGATCTTTGACAAGCAAAGCTCCGGTCTGTGCTAGGGTTCGACTCACCTCCTCACACAGCTTCTGAAGATTTGGATCATCCAACTTCTTCTCTCCTACTTCCCGGCTACATTTAGCTGATTTCTCCAGATACGGTGCTAGATCTATCACCGGCAGCTCCATTGCCTATTCTTTCTTTCCTTCTAGAGAGAGAGAAAGAGGAATTTTGGTTCGGAGCGCTTTTCTTGATGATGGCGGGAGAATAATGCCACCAATGGACCGTGGCGCATGTTAGCAGCACTCCGTTGATTGCCTTTGGGATTCGTACTTGTTCTTCTCGGAATCAAAGAGCCCATTGCGTGTACTATACCCACTATGCTATGCTCCGTTCCGTTCCGTGTACACCTCCTCCTTTTCTTTTCTTATTTATTTAATTAATTTATTTATTTTTATTTTTATTTTTGTGACCAATTTGGTGGGCTGGTCAAGGCTATCTTTGCTATGTGAGGTTGGGTTATTTTAGTTTAAAAAAAAAATAGAATGATTTTAAAAGTTAATAAAATAAAATATTATATTTAAATTATAATTATAATTATAATTTTTTTTTCTAATAAAAAATAAAAAAAATTCATTCTAAACAAGATTTTTTAATCCAAACTAAAATAGTCAAAAAATCAAAAAACTAACTCAATTCTTAAACGAAGGCCAAATATGGCCTTATCTGGCTTATTGGTTATTTTAATTGATTATTTATTTATTTATTTATTATTTTAGCTTAGTTAAAATAGTTGTAATAAGGAAGATATTTTTTAATAGTTGATTTGATGATTGTGAAAGAAAAAATAAAATGATTATGAGTTGGATGTAACATTTTGTCTTATTGGTTATTCTAACTTACTTTGTCTTTTAATGTATTATTTTAGCACACAATTCTCCTCTCTATATATACCTAAACTCAATTTAAAAAAATGGATCAATTATAAATATATTAGATGAGATTTACTTGATATACAAATTCTCTCTAATAATTTTACAAATTATAAATATTCTATTATAAGATTTTTTTATTGAGAAAATTGTTAAAAAATTCAATCTAAGTAAGATATAACGCATTAGGTCTAGTGGATATTTTTTTTATTGGTGAGAGGTCCAGGCTTTATGAAATAATTTAGTGAGAAGTTATTTTGTTTGTTTTGAAGGATATTTTATTTTCAATTTTACTCCTTAATTTATCTATTGACTTTTTTGACTGTTTGTTCAGATTTATATCAATCTGTTCATATTTTTTTCTATTTGTTCAATTTTTTCCCCTTATTTGTTCAAATATCGGTTTGAATTTTATTTCTGTTCAATTTTTTCTCTGAATTCTATTTGCTAATTTTTTACCTATTCAAATCTTTGTTATCGAAATACATTAAATCACTATATGTTCAATACCAACAAATTTTTATCCAAATATATATGTGCAACAAGAGATCTAAACAGATTAAAAAAAACTAATCTGTTGAAAATTTTCATTCTCAAACACACACCCACACACATAAATGATCCATTATCTATACAAAATTAAGTTTCCAAAAATCAAAGAAGCTAAAGGCATTTTCTAATAAACAAATCCAAAAAAAAATTGAAACACAAAAATTTCCTAAGAAAGAGAGAGAGAGAGAGATACAAAAGTGTTGTAAAGAGAAAAGCAAATCCATTCTCGGTCTTCAACACCTTTTTAGCCCGCTCAGGACTCACGGTCCCACGTGTTATTGGGTCGGATTTGGAGCTCATCCTCGCTATGGGTGTATCAGCAGAGGCTCGTCTTTCACAAAGGGTGCACAACTTCTTCTTCTTCTTCGGTTCTTTTGTTTCTCGACTGGTTCGAGTGAGTCGGTTGGTTGAGGATTGGATAGCTCTAATTGTTCTAGGGAATTTGATGGGGTGGTTCAGTGGAATCATGGCTGTTGATAGAAAGGAATTGTTCGACACAGGAAATTAGGGTTTCGGCAGGAAGGATTTGGTTTTTTGAATATGTCGCCATTGATGAACACTTTGCCGCCTCTCTGGTAGTGGCTGGATGGCAGTAATGAGAAAGCAACGGTCTAGGTGGTCTAGGATCTAAAAACAACGACGGATCGTTAGTTAGGGTTCAAATCGTCGATGGATCGGTGGTTCTGGATCAATGACCTAGATCCAAGAATGAAGTCAATGAAACGTATGCTAGGCAGCTGGATCGACGCCAAGCGGTAGTACTTCGTCATGGTCTAGATCTAGGACCAATGTTCTTCATCGCCATAGATCTAGAGATCTGCAAAGTGGAAGGAGATAAGACCCAACAAAGAGCAACGACAGACAACGATAGAAAGCGGCGGCAGTTGACAAACGCCAAACAATAACGGAGAGAATAGAGAAAGAGAGAAAGAGAGAGAGAGAGAGAGAAAAAAAAAAGGGTGTTTGTTATAGCAACTCCAAAGAGCTGGCTAAAAGAGGCCTGTTAGGCATTTTAGCCAACCACAACTCATGTTGGGCCCTCCAACAAGCTAGCTAAAACATTGACTACTTTACCATCAATCTTACCCGCTGGCTACCTTTGAAGAGCACTGGATCACTCTCCAAATCATATCGAAACCCTTTTTCTGGCGAAATTGTTACCGTTCACGTCTCTGCAACTCCATCATTCACATCTTTGCTTGCAGCTCTCTTCTTGGTATGTATGTTTCTCAATCTATCTCTTCTTCCCTTTCCTTTCCCCCTCTCTGCAACTCCCTCACTCTATACCACCAGGCGAAACCCTCTTCCCAAACTTCTCTGCAAAACCCCTTATTTCCCTCCCTATGACCCCCTTTCAGCTGGATTAATTCATGAAATCAAGAATATGTGTGTGCGCGTGTGTATGTATAAGGTTCTATTCTGAAATACTGGTTGTATGTAATTGATTTTTACAGGAATAACCTTATTCTCTCTCTCTCTCTCTCTCTCTCTGTGTTTATAGAGCCTTCCATCATCTAGAGGTATTTCTCTTAGATCTCTCTATGATCTGGATTCAGCTGATTTTATTAATTTGGTTATTACTCAAAATTTTCATTGCAAAGCTGGAATAAGGGGATTTGGAATAGGAGATTTGATCCAAATTTGTTGGGTTTTTTTTTTTTTTCTAGTTTGTATTGCTTTTGCTTTGTAAAGGGTGAGAGAATTAAGTTGGTTAGAGTTTTTGTTTTCAAATGCCATAATGTAATTTTCTTTCTTTGTCAAGGCTTTGGATTGCAGTTAAGAAACTATATGTTCTTTGATCATTTTCACAATAATGTTTGATTCTGATATTGATTTAGAAGCATATAACATACCATAGCTATTTATTTTAGACTATTTATTTCTTTTCTTTTTTATTTGTTGTTTAGTTTTTTGGATTTTAGGTTTTTTATTTCAAAATTTTGTGATATTTTCATGCTTAGATTCACATTATATTGTATTCTTTTTATGCAAGATTTTTAGACCAAGCTTGATTTTTTTCTCAAAAAAAAAAAAAGAAAAAAAAAGAAGACTAATTTGAGTTGCAAGCTTGAAATTCCAACTCTTACCTTTGAAGTATTTGTTCATTCCTCATGAGGTTCTCCTCTGTGTGTGTATGTGTGTGTGTGTGTGTGTGTGTGTGTGTGTGTGTGTGTGTTAAAATTTATTAAGGCAATCCCATCTTCATACGTTCCCATTTCAGAAATTCATGTTGGGAGAAAAATTGACCCTCTTTTGTTGTTGGTTGTGAAATTGTTTTCCCAGTACATTGCAATGTTTTGCAAAATAATCATAAATAGTTTGGAATTGCACTTTCTGTCTTGCATATATAGTTTTTTGAGCTATTGAACTTTCTGAACCACGACTCAATCCAAATTCAATCTCCATAGAAGGCACTACGAGTCAAGGACACCATGTATTTGTGTGGTCTTTCTTTATATGTAGGTTTGATTTATAGTTATTTCTTATAGAACTGTTGGATAAATCTTCTGTGTAAAATAAATAAATTGAAATAAATCAAACAAATAACATAAATTACGTACCGAATTTATTTTATCGAACCGAATAAATATTTAAAGATCAAGTCGAGTGTGTGACACTCTGTCCTTAAGACAGATTCGCCCCGCTACGGTGGTTACAGATAAATGGCGTCTATCTCCCAGGATACAATGATTTTCACAAATTGTGGTAACACTCCAAACAATTTGCTCGGCGAACAAAAGCCTGTGTTCTTACTCTCTAAATTTTTGAAAAAAATAATATGAAGATTATATAATGCAAGAGAGCAAAAGTACAAGGAAAATGAAGAATTTCGGATTGAATGACTACTAGAAAATTGCTGTATTTATAGATAATCCAAGGCTGTCCGAACAGGTATGAATCTGCTGAACAGATATAGATTTTGAATGAACAGGTATAGACTGTTTTTGAACAGATTCAATTCAAATTTTGAACAGATCTGCAAACTGTTTGGCAGTTTTAAAACTGCTCAGAATTGCTGGCAGTTTTCCCAATCTGTTGGACAATTTGAACTTGTTGAACTACTAAAAATAGACTGGAAAAACGGGTACATATTGGACCAAAAAAAATGGTGCAAAAAATTTAAATAAATAAATTTTTTCCTACAAGAATTTTTGAAAAAATTCAAATGCATTTTGTTCAAAAAATTAATAATAGAACCGACCCGACCCACACCCCACACCTGTGTCCGGCATGGCTTGGCTCGGCTCAGCCAGACAGACGGCAACGGCGACGTGCGTACGCGTGTGTGGTGGTTTGAGTTAAGGTTCCATTTGTCCATAACTCCTTCTTTCTACAAACTTAGGGTGTCCCTTGGGGCCCAACTCAAGTGTTGTCACGTAGAACCTATATACACACATAAGTTCTCTTGAAGTTTCAATGTGAGACAAGCCTCAAAAGGAAATCCACATTAAATTCTTTAATTGTCCATTCCACGAACTCGAAAACGACGTCAAATTCTCATTTACTCATAAATGGTTTTGACGAACCGTCTTCACCGTGTGAGTTGCTATGAGGCAAAGAACATGTCATCTCTTCGGACTCACCCCAAAAGACGTGTGGACCCCACTCAATTTTGGGCTCAAAGATGGCCCAAAATAAGCCTATATAAAACCAATTTTCCAACAGTCCCCAACATGAATGGAATTTGACGGAGAGAAAATGCAAAAACATGATCTAATTACAGAGAGTACAAAAATTGAAAATATTCTGCAAAGGATAAGTAGCTTTTTGGCTTTGAGCCTTCCCTTGTGAGACACTATCGGATTTACTAGCTAATCAGTGAACATGATGTCTTGAACTGTTTAACCATTTGTGTAAACCAAGACAATAGAACTCACACAGTATATCACCAGACATAGTT